AGAGAGAGAGAGAGAGAGAGAGAGGGTTTTCTACACGCCGCGGGGGCGGCGAATCGCGGGTGGCGGAAATAAGAAGGAGGCGAGAGGAATAAGACGAGCGGAGAGGGACAGAGAGAAAAAGAGATGTACGAGGAGGTAGAAAGAGGAAGAAGATCGATCGATCGTGTGCGGGGGATGAAGGAAGCGAAGGACGAAGAGGAGAAAGGGGAAGGAGCAGGAAGGAAAAGAGAGCCGCTGCGGGAAGGACGTTATTTCCGGAAGTACTGCGGCGCGGGAACACAAGACAACTAGAAGTGCACTTTCGCGTTTATCTACTACAGCGATACAGCGATCGAGGAGGCCCGACGATAACGGCCGACCGGATCGATTTTCTCGGTCGTTAGGCCGATCGAGAGCGAGGAAAATACGAATGCGCGAATCGTAAGAGACCGGCGGCACGCAGAAGATTGGCACGCGCCGCGCCGCGAATACGATTAGGTTCGGGCGTTGGTCTCTGCCCACGTCGCGACATTCACCTGTTCCGTGGACCGTGCTTTATCTGCCTCTATCTATGACTCTTTATACCGGGCCATTCCGCCTGTTATCTGTCCGTAGGAACACGGGCTTTTATCAGTTGCTTAGACGTGCGCCGATAACGTGGAAACTTTAAGCTCGCGCCTTCTCCCGCCTTCTCTCCTCCTCCCCCCCCCCTCTCTCTCTCTCTCTCTCCCCTCATTCTCCTGCCTCTCTCCTTCTCCTGCGCTACTTGCGCTCGTTTCGACGCTCGTCGCTGCCTTTCATCCGCTCGCTCGCACGCTCGCTAGCACGCTCACAGAACGCCTAGAAAATCTTCGCGACACCTCCCTCCTCTATTATCCTCACCATCTGTGATCCCACTCGGGGTGATGTCTTACTGATGCCGCTACTTACGAGTCTTGCGTGCAGATTACGAAAATCTGTTGTCCTCGAAATCTGTTGCGACTGTTTCAACGCGATCGCTTCAAGTATACATTTCAGATGTCCCGACTTTCAATTCTTAATCGTCACCTCGCGATTATTTAATCTCTCAGCTGTTAGCTTCGAAAATCAGGATTATCACAAATACCTCGTCCTAAAGTTTCATAATTTTCCTTTGACTTTGGAAAATATTTTAACATTTTTTTCTGTACTTTCGTCCTGATTTCGAAGAAATATTATGTTGAGAAAGCAATTTAATATAGCAATGTTGTAATTATTATTAATGTCGCTGGCACTGCTTACATTTAATTGTTAAGACGATAGTATTCCAAAACCACGTACGTACACATATTAAAGCGAGAGAATTTTAATTATCCAGAAAACTTTGCAAAATTCCCTGAATTACCCCGATAATTTTCAATTTCCCTCATTTCCATAATTTTCTGGCAATGGCCTGAAGAGAGATGGCCTTTCTAGCGATTCTCATCTCTCTCAGTTCTCCCAGCTCGCAGCTCACTCAACGTTATATTGTAGATGTTAACTCTCTAATCTTTCTTCATATCATATTTTATTGTTCGAGCGGAACGTAGACAAATGCCCTACTTCTTTTTCCCGTTCTAACCAAATTCGTCTTCCAAACTCCATTCTTTTCCGATGCCTCTCCTCGCCCTTCGTCTTCCCTTTTACATCCCATTGGTTGGCACTCGTACCATCTGCCGTTTCTCCGGCTATCCTTCGAAAGTTCTCGATGTGGACGTGCACCTGCGAACGCTTGCAGGTAACGCACGACTGTGAATGTACGTGAAAGAGCACCTGACGCACTTACTTCGCCGACCTCTATCTACAGATACGTACGCGTGGCGTGCTGTTTTTCACCTGTACGATCGATTATTGCGAGAAATCACAATGGCGAACATCGATCGCGCAAATTGCTGTCAAACTCCCGAAAAGTCCTAATAATAGAGCCCTAATAATAACGTTTCGGGTCGATCGTTTAATTTCAATCGGATCACCAAAATTTCCTCTCGACTTAACTTAACTTACTTCAAATGTTTGCTATTGTAGGACTAATGGAATTCTCAAAGTTCGTATATATAAGGCTTGTTATCTAACGTAACTCAATTAATTCTGGTTAAATTAATCCCCTGTCCGTTTTCCCAGTTCAGTTTTTTCTCGAGATTCCAAGGAAGAAGTTGATTAATTGGATCAGACTTAAGAGATCATTCGATTAAAGCTGAAACTCTTTTTCGAAGACCTTGAACTGTATTTTCCAATATTTTCAATTCGGACACAAAATTTTCGCGAATCATCGGATACCTTCTGCACTTCTCGTTTTTAAAGAGCGCAACAAGAAATTTTCCAACGTTCTCCGACGCTCGGAGAAACTTGCGGATTCATTTGAAATCTATTCGCGAAATCGAAACGCCACGGATTGCCTTATGTCTATCCAGCGAATCTATGCGTGTCGCACGTAGACACGCGGAACAGCGTTACTCGTGTAACAGGTACGCGCGCACATTGATATCGCGAAATTGGGTTACCTGGCGTGCCGACCGCAAAGACGCGCTGATAATTTCTGATAACGGGCAAGAACGACGATAATCGATTGTCTCGCGTTCATTTCTCGACCTTCTTTTTGTGCCTCTCCCCCATTTATCTGATCCAACGTGTCGCAATCGCGCGATTTGCCTCTGCAAGCTGAAAAACTATCTGGCAGCGAGGAAATTTGAAAATATGTATCGTCAAGCCGATAATAACGGAATTCTCCCTGTTTCCGATATGAACTTTTATCGATATGCCGTGGACAGTTGATGAAAGGATAATATTTTTGAGAGCGTGATGGATGAGGACATTTAACATATTCGGTTGTCACATAGCGTCGCACTTGTTGCATCTTAAAGCAGCATCTTCCGGCTGAACTGTTAGTTAAGAATATGAACGAAAGGAGCAACCCAATCCGTTAAATAACATTTTTAACTTCCATGCGTCAAAATGTAAATTAATCCATTT